TTTATCTTAGACGAATATTCTTTATTTGAACCTTTTATTGATTCCCGATCATAAATAGAACAAGAATTCCAACTCAACCGTAAATTATTAATTCCTAAAAACTGGTGAATACGATGGCAACAAGATTTGTTTAATTACTTGTTGAAGTTTTGTAAAGGATCTGTGGCTGCGTTTACTTGAATCAAAGAGCTATAACAGGTAGCATTTCTTTTAGGTGGCCTACTATGTCCTCTGGTCGAATTTAGACGCTGGACGTTTGGAACGCGAAGACTCAAGACTAACAGAATCAGATAAACTTTCCGCTAAAGGTTGTTATATGCCTTTTATGCAACTTATTTTACTACTTTTGATATAATTAGTATTTTTATTACAGTCGACCCTGATTGGCCGATTTTCGGGGTGCAAAATGCTCTAGAGAACGTGATTTATGATGAAATTCGCCATGATAGCCTGCTTCCTCTGCCTTCTGGAGATTATTCCCTACCATGGTTGCTCAAGCAGTCTGAGTCTGAAGAATCATGTTCAACTTCAAATTTTTCCGGCGCTGGTTCTGGTCTAAAGTATATTGAAAATAAGTTGGCAATCACTTACTTGAATAACACTGATGGTGGCCATTTCAACGCTAATTTAATGGTTGCCTCACTTAATCAACCTGTTCCGGAGTTCGATAATCGTTGGATCTCAATGAGGCAAAGCTTCACTCAAACACACTTACCATATGACCTCACGCGTCACGAACAGGTAGAGGGGACTGTCTTAGCAACCGGAATTATTGCTCCAGTTTCATCGGCTTTAGAAAACCAAGATGCTGTTTTTGCAAGAGAATCCGGGAGGATGGGCTTTCGCGGTTCAGGTGCTTCAGATACTCTTGAGGCTGATGGCGGCTCTCTCCCACCTGTTCCTGCCCCAGCCCCAGCGCAGCTAATGCGCCAGTGGATGAAGGAGCTGCGAGCGCGCAATCCGGTTTTGGACAAGACTAATGTAATTATCCGAATCGCGAAGGACAGATCTACTTTCGTGAGTCAATTTGAGTCGTCAAGCGAAGACTTTTCTTCTACAGATACTCCTTCCCCTGAGTGAGCCGTTGATCTCAAATGCAGTTGTTATATATACGGAATAGATATGTATGTATATTTTGCTATTCACTTAATGTTTGGCTGAGCATTCTTCGATGACTTAAAATACACCTTTCGTACTCTTTAAAGAAACTTGTTTTTATGTACTGTTTTTGCCTTTACACTCCAATTGATGTTACCAAATAAGGCAGAAAGTATGGCCAATCATCGCGCCCATACTAATTGTTAATACACACAAATATGTTTGCATATTTGTTTATTTACTTGAGTTTATATATTAATAGTGCAAGTTTGAATGGTATTACAAAATGTAAATGCCTATATCACTATAGACTAGTTTTTTTATGTCTAATGGTATTAATAATGACGCTCATCAATAGTTTAGATGTTTTTCATCTATTAAGATCCTCGAGGGTTTTTATAGAGACTACCATTAATTCCTTACTGTTGTATGGAGGGGATTCACCGTTTTCCCTTATTGAAATCTGAGGTAGTTCACCGCATGGATCCTGATGAATCCACTCTGAGCTTTCTTGTGGCAGCCATCCTGAGAGCGATAAACCACTTTTTAATAAA